GTGCTTTTGTCAGAGAAATAAATATTTCATGCTCTCACGTTTTATCTGATAGTCATTTTTATGGATTTTAAATAAATCATTACTGTTTGTTACATCTGCCGTTGTTTTATTCTTGGAGGAACAAAAGTCAGATATCATGTTCATGTAAATCTGACTTTCACTTCCTCTTTGACTGATTATGAACTTCACATAATTTCTGTAGGATGTAACGTTATGGTGTCTTTTGAGAGGGTCTACAGGGAAACCTTGAAGATGGGAATCTATCATCTAACTAAAACCTGAACTGCCAAAACAAAAATACATTAGAGCAAAACATTTACATTATCATTTTCATTTAAGAAAATGTATGGTATCATTCTCAAGGGAAGTACAAATGTACAAGATGCATCAGAGTATTTCTGTTTTTCTGACTGACTTTAAAATTAAGAAAATAAATTACATAATTCTCAATGAAAGTACAAGTAAAAGCTTTGTGTTGTATTCTTTGGAAAGACACTAGTGTCTTATGGAATATAAATACTTTCATGCCAGTTATCTGAAAGTGTGCTCAGAACTAGAGTGAATAGACTTTGTTACGTTCCACCTCTGAAACTACAGAGTGATTGTCAGTGAACCAGTCGACCATGTCAGTCTGATGCAGAAACTCACAGCTGCAACACAGCAAACTGTATGTGGTCTGACTGAAGGAGGTTTTTGTACGACGATAAATCACTGTGAGACCCACTTGTATATGCTCCCATACAGTAGTAGTCTCCTGCATCCTCAGTCTGCACCCCACTGATTGTCAGAGTGAATTCAGGTTCAGATCCACTGCTGCTGAAACGACTCGGTGTACCAGACTGACGGCTACTTATTTTGTAAAACAACAGTTTGGGAGGTTGTTCAGGTTTCTGCAGGTACCAACTGAGATCATCATCAACTCCTGTACTGGCTGTACAGCTCAGAGAGACTGTCTGTCCCACACCAACAGACTTTGATACAGGAGACTGAGTCACAGATGGATTGGCATCTGATCCTGGAGATTAAATGAAAGTTTAAATACATTTTTAAGAAATTTGTGCATGAAAATGTATTTCCGTTAGCACAGAAATGAAAATAACTTTTTATTTTAACTTTTTATTGAACATTTTCAAAGCCTAGATTCCACAATAACAGCAAACTGGTCATAAAAGAAACTCACTACTTCTCACCTTGAAGTCCTAACAGCAGCGTGGTCAGCAGTGGAGTCAGTAACATCATCATGATGATTAATCTCACTGTCAGACAGACTGCACACACTTGTCTCAGTGGTTCATCTTAAACTGGTTTAGGTGCAGTGATGCATTCAGTCATTCAAAGCACCACCTTCATAGTCAAACAAATATATGTGTTTGGTTCAAATTCCAAAAGAAATTCACCTGTCTGCAGTTACATCAGTTTCAGGTCAAATCTGTTCTCACTGAAGATTCACACAAACATATTTAACATATTTAATATGTGTCCAGGACTGTAATTTCATCTGTGCTGTATGTTGTGCATATAGCATATTTTGAAAATAAAGCTAACTTGACTTGACTGACTCGACTTGACTAAAACTCTAACAGTCAGAGAAAGTAGTTTAATCCTTGTTTGAGTTCATTTGTCGCCACAGGTTAGAATTGGACAATATAATGTGTGTGCGGAAGTAATCACGAATCAAAGTTTACAAAAACAATCAATATGGGGACCAGAGAGGAGCTGGGGATCAAATATTAAATATTTTTGTTCTTTGCTACACCAGAGTAGAGATTGAGACTGGGGGAACATTAAGAGGACGATGTTCCAGTAAGCAAGAGAAGGGATCCTATACTATACTTTAAAATAAATGTTATGATATTCTGGTTATTCTTGTATCTTCTACTCTGGATCAACAACCATTATATAGTATATTTTGATATCTGTATTGGCTTGTATGTCTATCAGTGTGAGACATTTGTTTTAAAACAATGTTGGTAGAAATATTCTCTATAACTGGTAAGAACATGTTTCCAAAGTATTCTGGTCTAAACAGTGATTTCATTTGATACAGACTTTAGACATTAGTTTTATTCATATTAGTCCCTTTTTTTTTAGTTTGGTTTGAATTATGTTTGATTTAGGAAAGTCCTGGAAGAACAGGAACCAGGTCCAAGATCTAAATGTTTTTTTATCAGGATCACAGCAGACAGCGAGCCAAAATATCCAGAGATATAGTCAATAGGAATATTCTAGTGGCATTTACTGGTTTGGGGCCAAGTAGCTTCTCTAAATACGATGGTCTAAAAGTCTAAAGCAACATATTTTTGGCTCAGAAATAAAAGCTAATTTCTGAATGGTTTGGGGAAGGTGGTTACAGGTGATACAGAAAAATACTTTCTGAATTGGGGCATAGAATAAACAACACTGTTGCAGTTAGAGGCCTGATCACTGGACTAATGTATCCAGTATCTGCTTAAGTTTAAAAATTATTTAAAAATACTTTGAAAGGAAAACCAGAGATGACAATAAAGTTTGTGCTTGGTGAGGTTACTGTCAGCTCTGTGTTCAGTGGTCTGTGTCAGAGTCTCTTCCTCTTCAGCAGCTGCAGTCGGTTCCTGCTGTAACAGCTCAGTGTCTCTGCAGTCTGACTGAGGGAGGTTTTTGTACGACGACAAATCACTGTGTGAACACCCAAGCACTGTTTATTTCATGAGCACCCTGACAGTAATAAACTGCTGCATCTGCAGTCTGAACTCCACTGATGGTCATCTCAGCGTTCACTCCGTCTCCTCTGCCAGAGAATCTAGAAGAAAACTCGCTTGTAGGATTTTTACCCAAGTTGATGACCAATTTAGGAGCTTCTCCAGATTTCTGCTGATACCAGTGTACTCTACTATCTCCATCTGACCAAACAGAAACCTTTGGGTTGGTTTTACAGGTCAGAGTGACTGAGGATCCAAGTGAAGATGTGACTACAGCAGGTTGATTCACAGTCACTTGACCATTAGATCCTGAAAAAATTAGGGAAAAAAAGAGAAGTTAAGCAATCAGAACTGGGATTGTTAATAATTTAACTGCTTTAACTGGGATAAATCTGTATTTCATTTCAGAGTTAAAAAATACTGAATTTCTTTAATAACAATTCTGACCTCTAAGGCAGCAGCAGGCCAGCGTCCAGATGAGGATGGTGATGAGAGTCATGGTGGTTGTGGTTTCTGCTGTGTTGACTGACAGATCTGAGTCCTGCAGTGTTGAACTCACAGGACTATAAACCTTCTCAGTTCACTGGAGGATCAGCTGACGATGCAAAGCCTCCTCTCTATGGAAATGATTTCTCTGCTCTCAACACACTGAAGGCAACGTGGGACACAAAATCAGGAGAAATACTGCTTGGATTTACACCATCTATGATCTTAATAGAATACAAGGAAATATTTATATTAGCAGTGCAGTTGAGGATTTAAGGATAAGTTTGTGTCCACTGTGGGTGGTATGATATGTCTGTTTGTCTGCCTTTAATTTACTTACATTGTTTACTGTAGATAAATAAATATGAACACATTTCAGTTTTGCTTAATATGAGTTTGTAAAATACTATTATTTAAATCATCAGGTGCATTTGATTATTTAAAAACTGATATAAAACTGTGAAACAAATGACTTTTTTACAAGGTGACTGTAATAGTTTCCATATCAGATGTAGAAAAGTAAAAAAAATAATATTTATTTATACACAAATTTCAATATAGTTTATTCTTTCTGTGTTATTAGTAAGATCAGAGAGTGTTTTCAGTGGATAGATGCTTGTTCACAGTGCAGGAGGTTTTTGTACGGCCACTTAATGAGTTTGTATCACTGTGGAGGACTTTTGGTGGAGGAACCAAACTCATCGTTGACTGTAAGTGCCAGAGATTTTATTTCATACAACATATAGCAAATATAACTATTATCAAATATTGAATGAGTTCAGTGTTTGTATGTTGTTGATTATTTTTGTTATTTTAGCAAATAAGGCTGATCTCACCATCTGAGAGTAAACCTCACAGAAACCAACATTTATTTAACATTAAAAATGTACAGAAACAACAAATAAATAGTTTAACTGAAAACAATTTAATTCATTAATTTCATTAATTAAAGTTAAAATTGTTTTTAAAATGTGATTCCTGTTAAACACAAACATGATCTTATCGTTAAATGCAGCTTATCTTTGTGTTCACGGTTCATTCATTTTACATGTAGTGAAAAGGAAGTGAAAGAGACAGATGACAAAGGTTTTAACTGTATTCACATGAGTGTTTCAGCTCTGTCAGTTTAAACAGAAAAAAAAATCATCACAGGGATGAGTTATTCACTGTCACACATTATGAAACACAGATGAAGATGTCATCAATAGTCATCATCAATTAACCTTTTTAGTTGCATTTACACTTGAATCATGTGTCTGATGGTTAAATATTTTTGTTCTTTGCTACACCAGAGTAGAGATTGAGACTGGGGGAACATTAAGAGGACAATGTTCCAGTAAGCAAGAGAAGGGATCCTATACTATACTTTAAAATAAATGTTATGATATTCTGGTTATTCTTGTATCTTCTACTCTGGATCAACAACCATTATATAGTATATTTTGATATCTGTATTGGCTTGTATGTGTATCAGTGTGAGACATTTGTTTTAAAACAATGTTGGTAGAAATATTCTCTATAACTGGTAAGAACATGTTTCCAAAGTATTCTGGTACTCTGATACTGAGTGATTTATGAGTGCAACAGCAGCACAAGTTATTCTGTTTTATTGGATCAAATATAGAAAATTACTAGTATGTAGTTTGTATTTGTTACCAAGCCTTCACTCTTCTTACTTTCTCCCCCCTATCCTCCCCACTCCTCTCCTCCAGTGGGTGTGGTGCGTCCCACCCTGACCGTCCCTCCCCCTCCAGAGAGGAGCTGCAGAAGGACAGTGCCACACTGGTGTGTCTGGCCAGCGGGGGCTTCCCCTCAACCTGGAGTCTGGGCTGGAAGGTGGGGGGCAGCAGCAGCTCCTCAGGGGTGTCACACAGCCTGGAGGTCCTGGGGAGGGACGGCCACTACAGCTGGAGCAGCACCCTGAGCCTCTCTGCAGACCAGTGGAGGAAGGCGGGCTCAGTGAGCTGTGAGGCCAGTCTGAGTGGACAGAGCCCTGTCACTCAAACCCTGGACCCTGACCGCTGTTCAGAGTAGAGCTTCAGCGACACTTCCTGTCTGGAAATGATGCTGCTTCTTTGATAGAGATCTTGATGAAGCTGCAGATCTCCTCTGTTCACATATTTCTGCAGGCTTCATAGCTTTCTACTCAGTGGTTTAGTTTGCATGTTGCTTTCTAATACTGATCTTCTGCATATGCTTCTTTATGTTCTTCACTTTTCAAATTCGAAATTAAATGTATTAGTTTCACTCCAAAAGAAACTGTTAATTTATCAAAAATGTGGGATAAACATTAAACATCATTAAATAAATCTGTGGATTATAATGAGTCAATGTCGTTTTATTTCTGAAATATTCATTATGAAAAACTCTTTCTTGATCATCTCCTTTTATACCTAATATTATACTATACTCAGGTGATGGTTGTGTTTGAATAACTTTGTAACAATTTGATAGGAATTACTGCATTTTTAGAATTAAATTATTAGTCATCATATTTTTTATATGAAGAATAATCCTTTAGACGCTTTTCATTTAAGATTGTTTTCAGTACAAGAAAAGGTTTTCAGTTGACTATGGACCAAGAATTAAACTTTACCAGCTAGCTCATAAAGAGACTGAATTAAGTGACAAGGATGGAAGTTTATAACTGTATATGGAAAACCATTAGTGAGCTTGTTTCAGTTATATTTAGATTCATTGTTTTTCTGCTTAATGACTCTTGTGTTCACTGGACCAGTTTTCTCTTCACCAACTCTCTGCACCTGTAGGAGGCTGTTTTCACTTTCACTCTACTGAGGGAGGTTTTGTACGGCTCTAAATCACTGTGTGAACACTGGGCCATTATGGACACTCTCACAGTAATAAACTGCTGCATCTTCAGTCTGAACTCCACTGATGGTCAAAGTGAAGTCAGAGCTGCTTCCACTGCCGCTAAACCGAGCTGGTGTTCCTGAATGACTTATGCTGACATGTCTTATTAGGAGCTTTGGAGGCTGTCCAGATTTCTGTTGAAACCAGAACATACATTGACCAAGATTATCACAGTTGGAATGAGTAGGAGGGTTTGTTTTACAGCTGATAGTGACAGTGGATCCTGGAGTAGATGTCTTTACTGGAGGCTGAGTCACAGTCACCTGACCGCTGCATCCTGCAGACAAAAACAAATCATTCATTTATCAGCAGAAAGAAATGAGAGAAAAGGCAGCACATCATGTTTGAAATGTTGCTGAGTGAATGAACCTGTAAAACAGCAGCAGGCCAGCGTCCAGATGAGGATGGTGATGAGAGTCATGGTGGTTGTGGTTTCTGCTGTGTTGACTGACAGATCTGAGTCCTGCAGTGTTGAACTCACAGGACTATAAACCTTCTCAGTTCACTGGAGGATCAGCTGACGATGCAAAGCCTCCTCTCTATGGAAATGATTTCTCTGCTCTCAACACACTGAAGGCAACGTGGGACACAAAATCAGGAGAAATACTGCTTGGATTTACACCATCTATGATCTTAATGGAATACGTATAGATTATATTAGAAGTGCAGTTGAGGATTAAAAGATGAGTTTGTGTCCACTGTGGTTGGTATGATATGTCTGTTTGTCTGTCTATTAATTTGCTTACATTGTTTACTGTGATAAATAACACATTTTAGTGCTG